GACAGACAGACAGACAGACAGACAGATAGATAGATAGATAGATAGATAGATAGATAGATAGATGGATAGACAGACAGACAGACAGATAGATAGATAGAGGTATAAATGGACAGACAGACATATAGATAGATACTGTAGATAGATAGATAGATAGATAGATAATTGTGGTATAAATGGACAGACAGACAGATAGACAGATAGATAGATAGATAGATAATTGTGGAATAAATGGACAGACAGACAGACAGACAGACAGACAGACAGACAGACAGACAGACAGACAGATAGATAGATAGATAGATAGATAGATAGATAGATAGATAATTGTGGTATAAATGGACAGACAGACAGATAGACAGATAGATAGATAGATAGATAATTGTGGTATAAATGGACAGACAGACAGACAGACAGACAGACAGATAGATAGATAGATAGATAGATAGATAGATAGATAGATAGATACACAAATATACAGGTAGACAGAAATGTAAGGTATGTTCCATGAAATTGCAATGCAGATACAAGTTTTGCAGTACAAAGGACACAGTATTGATATATTTATGGGGATGAAAAGGTGCTGTATATACCTTATACTCGCTGATGGCGAATCTTGCTCTCTGTCTGACTCTCTCTCTGGGCTGTAGCGGGTGTGCAGAGGGGGACATGTGTTTCTCCATCATGAACTCAGATCCGCAGGGAGAGAGCTGCAGTCTGCGCCCGTCTGAGTACAACACGTCCACAGACTCATCCACACACACGACCATAAACCTGACCGAACACATGACTCACTTAACACCAGACAATTCAGTAGAGAACTCGAACCTATTACACACCGCCACAGTCTAAACGTAAACACTAAAATCACTGAAGCAGAACAAACAAAATCCACAGTCGCGTCCAATTGTTGTTGCTAGAGTGAAAGGTTCGTTTTTGCGAGTCGGATCTTTTGAATCAATCGTGTTTACAATCGATTGATTCAAAAGATCCGACTCGCAAAAACGATGCGAGAACCGACTCTAGCAACACACGAACTGAATCAAACTGAACTGGGACACAAAATGATCATGAACGCCTTTGTTAATTAAACGTAATCAGAAAAGAAAAAAAACACATAATAAACAATACGTGTATCTAGATGAAAACGTTGGGATGTCAGGGACCAGGTGATTCGTTTCTTTGAAAGAACTGTTCAAAAGAACCGATTTGCAGGCATGACTCGGACTTCCCGTCACTAGTTGCCATGGTGCAAATTTTCGCGGTTGATGAAGAGAATGCCTCTGATTGGATGAATCACTTCTTCTACAGTAATTACTCATAAAGCTGTGCGCTCCTTCATCGCCCCCTTGCGGCTAAGATTCAACTCTGGCAAGCTGAAGCAATATGAACACGGATCAAGATTTGATTTAGATTATTTTTTGAGTTCATCTCACGAAGAAATATATATAATTTATTATTTTATTTCATATATAAAGAAATAAAATGACACCTGTATTAGCACATATACACATTTATAAATAGCATGAAACCTATATAAACAACATATTTTTTATTTTTACTTTATGCTAAATATGATTTGCTTTGTCTTTTATAATATTATTCGGGGGTGGAATATGACCTGGATATTCATGATATTCAACCTTTTATAAATCTTGTTGCATATGTCAGTTTTATTAGAACAATATTGAACTGTCTATATGGTATCACTGATAAACTAAACGTTTTTTTAACTTTAATTTTGTCTATTTTTTCTGTTTTTGTCCGTTTTTCAAAAGCCATAGAATTAAGGTCATGTTTAATTTTATACAGGTGCATCTCAATAAATTAGAATGTCGTGGAAAAGTTCATTTATTTCAGTAATTCAACTCAAATTGTGAAACTCGTGTATTAAATCAATTCAATGCACACCGACTGAAGTAGTTTAAGTCTTTGGTTCTTTTAATTGTGATGATTTTGGCTCACATTTAACAAAAACCCACCAATTCACTATCTCAACAAATTAGAATACTTCATAAGACCAATAAAAAAAACATTTTTAGTGAATTGTTGGCGATCTCCGGATCCATTTCGTCTTCATCACCGCAGAAACTGCAACACAGAAGCATTCCTTCATAAGTATATGGAAGCTTGTTCCCAACACATTTCCAAAATTTTTTTTTTGACTTTTTATCTCACAATTCTGACTTTTTTCCTTGACATTCTGAGTATATATCTCACCATTTTGAATTTTCTTGCAATTGTGTGGGGAAAAAAAGTCAAAATTGTGAAAGATCAACTCAAAATTATAAATATAAACTTAGAATTCTGAGAAAAAAAAGTCAGTATTGTAAGATAAAAAGTCAATTGCTTTTTTATGCCGTGGTGAAAAAAAAAAAAAAGACAATTGTGAGAAAAGAGTAAAAAAAAAAAAAAAAAAAAAAAAAACAGGTATATAACAAAATTACAAAAAAAAAAAAAAGAATAGCAGGTATATATCAGAATTGCAAGAATGAAATCTGAATTGTGACAAAAAGTCGCACTTACCCGTGTAATTTTCTTTAATAAATATTTAAAATATATATTTTCTGTCATCTTGTATTGAACACAGAAGGTACTTTTATCGAGCCAAGATCCATTAAACTGGTCATGGCTGCTTTTCTTACTTTAAAATAGTAATAATACTTCCAAATATGACTGTTTTTACTGTATTTTAATCAAATAAATGCAGCCTTGATGAGCATAAGAGATCTTCTTTTAAATACATGAAAATGTTACTGAAAAAAAAAGTAAGCAATAGCTTATATATTTACATGAACCTTTCTTTAAATCTGTATCTATTAAATCTGTCTAAAATCATTAATATAAAGGGCTTTTCACACTGAAAGCGAAAATTCGGCGCGATGACTCTTTTGAATCGAAACAATAGGTCCCTATGGGGATATTTACACCAGGCGCGATTATTTGCGGTGCGAAAAAGCGAGGATTTTTTTTCGTCCTGTGTGTCGATATTTTCCCCCGTCGCTCCACGATGAAACGGGTCGTCCAATCAGATTTGAGCTTAGATCACGTGCCCAGAGCAGCTGCTGTTGCACGAGTGGTGGTGCTGTTTCGAAAACCAGTGTAAACAAACACCGAAGAAGAGTATCCCGGTAGAGAGAAGAGAGTGGATGCCGAGTTCCTGTTATCTTTGGTATCTGAGAACAGATTTATTCTCACGTGTTCTTAATATAATTTCTAAATTCTCCATTGAATTATGTGATCTGGAGTGTCCGTTTTCTTCCACGTGCGCGAGTGTTGAGTCAGAGCGCGGTAACTCTCTAGATCAGTGAATCTCAACCTTTTGGCGTACCGGCCCCCAGTCCAATTCAGAACCATCCTCAAGGACCCCCAGAACAACATTGACTCATCCATGTATCATTTGTGTGTTTTCGAGGACCAAATGCAGTCAAGTATAATTCAAGTTAGTTGACTTGTCCAGTATTTGGCCATATCATCAGCTATATTGAATTTTTCTTTCATGGGAACATGTCATGTCAAAATATACAAAATTTATACAAAAATTCATACTTTATTCGGACCCCCTGGCCTTACGTCAAGGACCACTAGAGGTCCACGGACCCCTGGTTGAGAAACACTGCTCTAGATCTTCCGTGTTTAAAAAAAACAAGTGAAACGTGCATTTTTTTTCTACACATGAAATATGAAAGCAAATAGACATGATTATGACAATATATTTTCTGTATGTGTTTTGTATGCAGCTCATGGCAATTTTATAACAATAAAGGATGTTTAGGCAGTGTGGCGTTATTAAACATAGCCTACAAAGAGTGCATGTCTGCCTATTATAGAATCAAAATCAACTACAGATCACAATCAGAAGTTATTACAAGCACTCGATGATGGTTTATAGTCGGGTTTAAGCGAAAACAATAATCATACATTTTCAAATGTGGCTTGATGCTAATTGTACTTATATTTTAAGATGTTTTCTTGTAAGCATTACAAGATGTTTGTGTTTCTGGCGTAGAACCAAACTTTAGCTATATTTAATGCTGTATATTGAGCAGTGGACGATGTTAAATCCATATATGAGATAAATATCGGAGTAAAAATGCATTGGTGGTTGGCACCACCTAGCGTGCAGGTGTGAATTAGCAAAGGTGATCAATCGTTTCGTGCTCGGTGTGAAAGCAACGTTCGTCGGCGATTCGCCTCGCTTTTTCGCATTGCGCTCAGTGTGAAATGGCCTTAACAGTGGATTACTATACTGTGAGACTATGAATTTCTAATTATGTTCATGCATTCCTTCATTATAAGTGCCTTAACTGTTTTTTTCTGTCATAATGTGTATTGTATTAAATAGAAAAAGTTATTTTAAAACTCATCACATGAATTACTGACTCGCCCCTGTTGGCTGGTCTTTGTTAACTGCTCATGGCCTATCCAATGGGCTGAAGACTATGCTGAATAAGACTGGTAGGTCTTGCTAAGCCCCCCTCTCTCCCTGGACTGCTGACTTCACTAAAATGTGCTCTTTGACTCCCCCCAGCATCATTGTGAGGAGGACAATTACTGGAGTTCGAGCAGAGGGGTATTAGAGTCAACTAAAACCATAAAAAAGCATTTTGTTACTTGAAATAAAATAACCTTGAACTGAAATAAAATCAAATATAAATAAAAAACTAAACTTATTTCAGATAGTTGCCAAAGCAAAACTTTTCATTTAGTTGACGTTCTAAAATAAAACTAAACAAAATTTATGAAAACTATATAGCTATTATTTAAAAAACTAAAACGAATACAAATGACAAAAAACAACAACAACGGAATTAAAACTTCAAATAAAATTTAAAACTAATTCAAAATATTAATTAAAAAAACTATATAGTATCTCAGTTGTGCAAGCAAACAAGACTTTTGATATTCTGCACACAAATTTACAAAAATCTACTTACAAATCATTTCCATTCTCTTCATATGCATCAGGGAAGTAGTCTTCTCGGTCTAGAATCTCCTGATATTTGTCTGAGTATTCTGTGGTGGGGGAAATAGTAGATTAGTAGTAAATACAGTAATTACCAATATATAAAAAAATTCATAATAATATAAAAATAAATTTAAATATAAATATAAAAATAATAATTAAAAAAATGTCTGGCATGTTATGGTAATGAGAATTTAAAAAAAAAATTAAAACATACTTAATTTTATGAAAATAAATGAAGTAATGCAAGTCTTAAAGGGGTCATATGATGCGATTTCAAGTTTTCCTTTCTCTTTGGAGTGCTACAAGCAGATTGTGCATAGATAAGATCCCTGAAGTTGCAAAGACTAAAGTCTCAAAACCAAAGAGATATTCCGAGCAAGCGAGAGTCACATCACAAACACATACCAGCTTCATCACTGTGTCTGTCACGTGACTCTGTTCCCCTTTTGGGCTCTGTCTTTACATTTATTTTGAAAGATGAAGCTCACGATTATGGTAAGGGGAGTTACATTTCCGACGAGTGCTAGCGGTGTTCGGCCAATCACAATAAACTAGGTCAGCTGGCCAATCAGAGCAGACTGCGCTTGTCGGAAGGAGGGCCTTTGTAGAAAACGAAGCGTTTGAGAGAGGCAGGGCATAGAGGACCTACAATAATGTACAGTATTTGAAAAAAAATTGTTTTTTTGAACATTAAAGCATGTCAATATATTCTGTTACACCAAATACACAAAATAATGATCTTTAAAAAGGCATCATATGACCCCTTTAATACTCCTAAAACAGGCTTTCTTTTTTCCCTCAAAATGGAATTTCTGATTTTCTTTTGATTTTGAACTCGAACACGGTTTTGCGACATTCACCCACTTAATAAAACATGAGTAAGACTGTAGATGGGTCACAGCAGACTAAAGCCGCTGCCGCTGCTCACCAGGATCTGCTGCTGTAAAAGGCGTCCCATCCGCTGTGTAGAAGGTTGGTTCATTCTGGGGAGCAAAACCATGACAGAGACACATTAAGGGTGTGTTCACACTTGTCATGTTTGGTTCGATTAAAACAAACTCTGGTGCGATTGCTCTGTTAGTGCGGTTCATTTGAGTAAGTGTGAACGCTGCCATCCGAACCCTGGTGCGCACCAAACAAGCGGACATAGACCGCTAAAAAGATGGGTCTCGGTCCGCTTCCAAACCAACTCTGGTGCATTTCGAATGAAATATGAACACAACATGGACCAAATACTTATAAACGAACCAAAAACAGGAAGTAATGACAAGATGCAACGCTATGCGACATGATTTGAGACACAGTGTAACCAACACAAAATTAGCAGAGGGCAAACGTGGAGCAACGATGAGTTAAAGTGCCTTTTATGAGTTCCTTCTGAGTTTGAAATAAAATTATATGTAGCATACAAGCAATAATGAGCACGCTTAGTCTAGCAGACGGCACTAGGTGTGTTCACGATATATACGCCATTCAAGTCGACCAATCAGGTTGTGAACGTATCACAATGCCTTTAAGTTCGGTGTCTTTAGGTTCACTGTCAAAAATGCCAATGTGAACGCTAAGCGGACCAGGAGCAAATGTATCATTTTCCTTTTTGGTCCAGACCAAATTAACCAAACGAACCGAACTACAAGTGTGAACACACCCTAAGAGAGGCGACAAAATATGAATGATGTCACAGATTACATATTTTACTACAAAACCTCAATGAATGCATTTGATTTATTTGCCATTACGCACCATAAAGTAGTTGGGGTCATTGTCTGGTGTAGCATCACTGGACACACTTGCTGTCTGAACTCGACCCCAGTTACTGGACTGTAACTCCACCAGTTTCAACAGCATCTGCTTGACATCTCTACAAACAAACAGATACTGTAAACATCAATAATGCAATTGTACTGCTTTCAGCAATCTAAGAGCTGTTCACACTGACAGTGACATTCAGCAACAAAACAAATGGAAGTTGGCGATTTCCAGCGGCATGAGCAACAACAACTGTTGGCAATGCAACTCAACTTTATGTAAATGTACGATAATAAGCAATAGGAGTGCAGACCGTGATGCTCATAAACCTCAATACTACATACATACTGTATATACCAGTGTTGTTTTAGTGTCACTGCACTCTCAGAAAAGTCTGTAAAAATACAGCCCAATGTACTGTGTTAAAATGAAGGAATTTTCCATACTTATTTTTTCACAGGTGTCTTACCAATATTTTGCATTATGCATTGCATTGTGTTGTCTTATGGTTGAAGGAAATGTCCTTAAATTAAATGGAAAATGTACTGGTAATTTTCTGCCAGTAAACCTGTTTCTTACAGTGTATTATAGTTTTTATTAATATTTTTAAATTAGTTTTTGTTCTTATATTTTTAGTAATTTTGTTGCATTTTTCGCTTTTTTTTATGTCTATACAGTTTTTCTTTATTTTTATGTCAGTTTTAATTTGAGTTATTTTAGTACATCAAGTTAAACAAAACTGAAATGAGGAATGCTGTCTTTGGCATGCATGCATGCATAAATAAATTAATTAATTTAACTTCTGTTTTAGTCAAGCAACAAACATGTTTTTTATGGTTTTAGTTTTAGTGAACTACAATTCCGTTGATATACTGCAAGCTAAAGATTTCCAAAAACAATCTATTGTTGCCTGACTCGCTCACCGGCTGCATTTGACATCCAGCAAAACTTCTTCAATCTTCTTGATTATCTCATCCATGTCTGACTGGCCTTTCTCCTTCCATGCGTCATCCAGAATGGAACCGCTCAGCTTGTCGAATCAGTACAGTAAAACAATGCTAGTCAACACCAACAGTATAGTACTGCATTATTATCTGCAGATTGATTGATTATCTCATTTCAGTTCTTTGAATTAAATTTCAAAATCTTTGTTTACATTAGTGTCACTAATGATCTTAAGTTGAGTCCTGAGGTTACCTGATAACTCCTACAAACTATTAAACAGTGCATTTGCTCTGAAACAGTACCATTTAGTGCAGCTTCAATGTATTCAAAGTGGAACACAGCAAACCTTGAGTAATTTGACAGCACACATTAGGTTGGGGTCATCTGGGTGACAGAATAATGTGTTCAAAAGATCCTTTAGCGCTCCCAGCAAGACGTTAGCTCGCCCGGGTGTGTCCTTTCTACTTTTGATCTGAAAGACATTAAAGAACAGAAATCTAAAATTGTAGTCGCTCATACTTTTGTTTACAGAATAAAAATGTACAGTACAACTACAGTTGAATAATCAGCTACAAATCTGGAAAAAAAATAATAAATTCAACATGTAACTATAACGTAAACATTACAAAATCTGACATATGAATTCAAGCAAATACATATGTCAGGATTTATATACTACGTTATGCAAAGGAGTTGATATTAAAGGGTTAGTTCACCCAAAAATGAAAATTAGCCCATGAATTACTCACCCTCAAGGCATCCAAGGTGTATATGACTTTCTTCTTTCAGACGAATCCAATCGGAGTTATATTAAAAATTGTCTTTGATCTTTCAAGCTGTTTAATGGCAGTCTGCGGGTGTTGCAGTGCATCAGTCCAAAAGAAGTTAAATAAAGTGCATCCATCCATAATAAAAAGTGCCTCACACGGCTCCGGGGGGTGAACAAAGGCCTCCTGTAGCGAATCGATGCGTTTTTGTGAGAAAAATATCTATTTAAAACGTAATAATTTAATCTAGCTTGAGCTCACTGTTGTACACGGAAGCAGCTACTGGCTGATGACGTATGAGGTTGGCTTTGCGCATGCGCCGCTCAGAAGTGATGAATGCGGAAGCGCAGCGGAGAGATCAAAACAAAACAACGGTCACGAAATAGAAGTACAAAACGAGGATTTGTAAAGAAGAATGTCGGAGTATTTCGAAATAAGCCAAGAGGAGACTGGTTTTCCTTTGCTAAAGTAAGGAAACTTTGCTTCCTTTGCTCCTGTAAACAAACGTTGGTTTTCACAAGACATCTTACGTCATCCTCCCAGAGCTGCTTCCGTGTACAACTGTTGCCGCAAGCTAGATTAAAGTGATAATTATATTTTGAATATAGATATTTTTCTTACAAAAACGCATAGATTCGCTACAGGAGGCCTTTGTTCACCCCCCAGATCCGTGTGAGACACTTTTTATTATGGATGGATGCGTTTTATTTCAATTCTTTTGGACTGATGAACTGTAACACCCACTGACTGCCATTAAACAGCTTGGAAGATCAAAGACAATTTTTAATATAACTCTGACTTTTCATTTTTGGGTGAACTAACCCTTTAAGGGTTTTAATCGGTTTAGGCTTTAGCATTACATAATTTGCTCAGATGCAGCAGGTCAAGCTCTGCCGTTGGGTTTATTTTGTAATGATGATTGGTTGACTAGCTTTACTGGCTATACCAGTGTTATTACAAATTCACAAAAAAAAAAGGAAAAAAAAAAGTATTTTTGCTAATTGAAGTAAATATAAAATAAAAGACAGATAGATAGATAGATAGATAGACAGATTTTGTGATAATTGAAAAGCATTGGTTTTGTACTAACCTCCAGGTTAAGGTAAAGCTCCCCCAGAAACAGCACATAATAGTGAAACCTTTTCTGGGTCTCTGGATCTCCTCTCACGGCCTGCTCCCTCTGCTCAAACTGGTTTTGACACCTACACAGACACACAAAATGGAGTTTTGAGGATAAACAATACTAACAAAAATGAGACGAAAATGAAAGTAAAGGCTTAGAAGGAAAAGGGAAGAAACTGTTGACTTTAAGAACCAAATGTCAAGCCACTTTTATGAAACACCCAGAAATGGGTACTTGGGCGTCACATTGCTAAACCTGAAATTTACCTCTGCAGCAGCAGCTGTCTGAAGTTACCGCTGGCTGGACTGAGACGGATGTGATAAGACAGATGGTTACAGAGCCGTGCACCCGTGTAGGCGAAGTTAGGGATAGACGTGGACTGTGGAAAACAAATGTGGGATGGTTTTCATTGCATTCATCTTAATAACAACTGCTAAATGCATTATGTTTTGACCAGTACACAGATTAAAAATAGTACCATAGTAGTATTTTGCAAATTTCAGTTCTGCTATTTGGTTCAAAATTCAATACAGCACTGATGCATGATTTGAAAATTAACCAGTAATTCACCAATTACAAAATATACTTTTTAATATAATAATACTCAAGGTGTTATAGAGGCCATCTCAGGTTCAATGCATGCTTTCGCAAGACAATGAGCATGCAAAACTTAAAAAAGCCACAATTTAAGATTAGAATTTAGCTTTCTGTGTCATTATTTATATTTCGGATTACTGAGATTTGTGTGTGTCCACTTAAGGAATTAATAAATAATATAGTAGTATGTATACATAATGCTACTAAAAAATAAATAATAATAAATATATGGACTGTACATTGCATAGTTTATTAGACAGCTATAAATAAATACAGGATCAGATGGATATAAAATATTGACATATTTATGTAGGAAATTATTCATTTATATGAGTTATTAAGACTGTATTCCAGAGAGCTGTGTAATAATCATAATTGCAGTAATACGTGAAAAAAAAAAGTGTGAATAAATTGTGAATTTTTTTTTTTTTTTTTATTAAATATATTCTTAAACTATTGCAGAACAGAACTGTACATTATAATATATAATATTTATGTTCTGCAATAGTTTAAATATATTTTTAAAATAGTTTTGACAGTGTGATTTAAAGAGATAGTTCACTCAAAAACATCATTAACTCACTTACATGTAATTTTAAAGTTCTGTTGTTTTCCATGTAAAAAAAAAAAGACAAAACTTGAGGGTGAGTAAATAATGACTGGTGAACTATTCCTTTAAACAGGAAGTTCTCGTTGCATTTTGACAGGTTACCACACAGGTCCATTATCAGAAACTCATTACAAATGCACCTGTACATAGATGAGCTCTACCAGCTCCTGCAGAATCTCCTCTGTAGTGACGCAGCTGTTCAGCATATCCGTGATGTAATCGATTTCTGACTCGAAGGACCCCGGAGACGAGTTCAGATGGCTTACGAAATCCTGAACAAAATCAGCCAGTGAGGTCTCAGGGTAGTACTCTTCAGATCCATCGGAATACACGTCATCCTAAAAACAGAGAACATTAGACTAATACCACGGTAAATTCACACAGCGTTAAAGAGGAGCCACATAGACTCACCTGGAACGATGCATAATTGCCCGGGAAAAACTCAGGTGCTGCGGCAGACAGTTTAGAGTTTTTCACAAGTGCATCTGCAGCACTGCTGCTATTGTGTCCTGAAGGAATGGGGGATCTGCTCTCTGGAAGATGGAGTGATGAAGACTGGCATTAACGCTGAACATTTGTAGTCACTATACACTAATTCCCGTTTTGTGTTATTTCATAGTTTTGATGACTTTACTAGCATTCTAAAATATGTTAGAAACAGTAATAATAAAGAACAGCACACATTAGACTTGTAGTGTAGAGACAGAAGCAACCCGTCAAGATTACTTGACTTCTCCACTCAAATCACATGACAGATATGGCCAGATTAACAATCTCACCCACTAACTGCTGGTGACCATTTAACCAGTTTTAAATCCCGCATTCCAATAAAAGTAATACTGCAATAATCTTCATCATACAACAACAAATGTGTCTTCAAAAGTTCGTTAGATTTTTAACATGAAAGATCACAATCGATCAGAAGTAATTATTACAAGTCAAGTTAATCAACTAATGACAAAATACATTTAAAAAAACCATCCAGATGTGGTGGAAACTATGGTTAAAATCTATTCCATCTATTCATTATCCATCCATCCATTCATTTCTGCATCCATCCATTCATGTATCTATCATCTATCTACTCATCCATCCATCTTTACATCCATATATCTATCCATCTATCATCCATCCATCTATTCACTCATGCATCTATCGACAAAATACATCTAAAATAGCCAGTTGTGGTGGAAACTATGGTTAAAATGGTCGGTGCTTTGTACTCTCTCCATCCATCAATTCACACATCTATCTATCCATTCATGCATCTATCTATCCATTTATCCATCCATCTCTGCATCTATCCATCTATCATCCATCCATAGATCTATCCATTCATGCATCTATCTATCTATCTATCTATCTTTCCAATGACAAAATACATCTAAAATATGATGTGGTGGAAACTATTGTTAAAAAGGTTTATATGCTTTGTACTCTATCCTATCATTCATCTGTCTATCCATTCATGCATCAATCCATCCATCTTTGCATATATCCATCTATCTATCTATCTGTTGAGCTGTCTGTTTATCTCTAGCTGTCTATATATCTATAGTCAACTTCACTGAAATGCTAAAAAATAAGCTTTACACGGTCAAAGCATTATTAACTTCATATATTTACACATAAACATGGACCACCCATATATACAGTACTTTGCAAAAGTCTTAGGCCATTAGTATTTTCATCAACAAAAAATGGTTTTAAGCCAGGTATTTCTATCTTTTGCTGTAGTTTGTCAGTTGGAAATAACATTTACATTTTGACATTTAGCAGATGCTTTTATCCAAAGCGACTTACAAATGAGGACAATAATAATAATGAATAATTATGTAAATAACAGTTTACATTTCCAAACATTCCTTTTCAGGGCTCGACAGTTCAAGCATTTCACTCTCATTTGTGACTAAAAATAGATGTGTGTGAACTGGAAAATGTATTTAGGAGCATGAGTGCGAATAAAATAAATTTGTTTTGCCATTAATTGTAATAATCCAGTAAGATTTTTGTATGCACAAGGAGTCTGACAACAGCCAGTGCTCCACACAGAGATCAGATCTCACCATCATCCAGTCCGTCTGAGGTTACATGAAGAAACAGAAAAAACTCAGACAGACTAAATCCAGAAGAACTGTCGACATCTCCAAGACACTTCAGGAAACCTTCCTGCAAAGCTACCTGAAGAACTACAGGTGCATCTCAATAAATTAGAATGTCGTGGAAAAGTTCATTTATTTCAGTAATTCAACTCAAATTGTGAAACTTGTGTATTAAATAAATTCAATGTACACAGACTGAAGTAGTTTAAGTCTTTGGTTCTTTTAATTGTGATGATTTTGGCTCACATTTAACAAAAACCAACCAATTCACTATCTCAACAAATTAGAATATGGTGACATGCCAATCAGCTAATCAACTCAAAACACCTGCAAATGTTTCCTGAGCCTTCAAAATGGTCTCTCAGTTTGGTTCACTAGGCTACACAATCATGGGGAAGACTGCTGATCTGACAGTTGTCCAGAAGACAATCATTGACACCCTTCACAAGGAGGGTAAGCCACAAACATTATTTGCCAAAGAAGCTGGCTGTTCACAGAGTGCTGTATCCAAGCATGTTAACAGAAAGTTGAGTGGAAGGAAAAAATGTGGAAGAAAAAGATGCACAACCAACAGAGAGAACCGCAGCCTTATGAGGATTGTCAAGCAAAATCGATTCAAGAATTTGAGTGAACTTCACAAGGAATGGACTGAGGCTGGGGTCAAGACATCAAGAGCCACCACACACAGACGTGTCAAGGAATTTGGCTACAGTTGTCGTATTCCTCTTGTTAAGCCACTCCTGAACCACAGACAGCGTCAGAGGCATCTTACCTGGGCTAAGGAGAAGAAGAACTGGACTGCTGCGCTGTGGTCCAAAGTCCTCTTTTCAGATTAGAGCAAGTTTTGTATTTCATTTGGAAACCAAGGTCCTAGAGTCTGGAGGAAGGGTGGAGAAGCTCATAGCCCAAGTTGCTTGAAGTCCAGTGTGAAGTTTCCACAGTCTTTTGAAGATGCTGATTTCATTTTCCAGCAGGATTCAGCACCTGCCCACACTGCCAAAAGCACCAAAAGCTGGTTAAATGAGCATGGTGTTGGTGTGCTTGACTGGCCAGCAAACTCACCAGACCTGAACCCCATAGAGAATCTGGGGTATTGTCAAGAGGAAAATGAGAAACAAGAGACCAAAAAATGCAGATGAGCTGAAGGCTACTGTCAGAGAAACCTGGGCTTCCATACCACCTCAGCAGTGCCACAAACTGACCACCTCCATGCCACGCCGAATTGAGGCAGTAATTAAAGCAAAAGGAGCCCCTACCAAGTATTGAGTACATGTTCAGTAAATTAACATACTTTCCAGGAGACCAACAATTCACTAAAAAAACTTTTTTTATTGGTCTTATGAAGTATTCTAATTTGTTGTGATAGAGAATTGGTGGGTTTTTGTTAAATGTGAGCCAAAATCATCACAATTAAAAGAACCAAAGACTTAAACTACTTCAATCTGTGTGCATTGAATTGATTTAATACACAAGTTTCACAATTTGAGTTGAATTACTGAAATAAATTAACTTTTCCATGATATCCTAATGTATTAAGATGCACCTGTATATGCAAGTGTACCTAGGACAAAAGATGTTTTAACAAAAAGGGTGGTTGCACCAAATGCTGATTTGATTTAGTTAATAGAAGTTAATTGATAAATACAATCTATTTATGACATTATTTTTTAAAGCATCCTCACTTTACAGCATTTTTACACAAGTGCCTAAAACTTTAAAGGGGGTCATATGATGCGATTTCAATTTTTTGTTACAAGCTCTTGGTGCATAAAGAAGATCTGTAAAGTTGCATCCAAATAATGTGACCCCTTTAAACAGTACTGTTGCTTTGCAGGAAGGTTCTTGAAGTGTCTGCTGTCAGACTCCTTGTGCAGACAAAAATTTCTCTGGATTATTACAATTAATGGCAAAAGGAATGTTAACTGATATTTCCTACTGGCACACTACAGCAAAAGATATAAATAACTGGCATAAAACCATTTTTTGTTGGTGAAAATACTAATGGCCTAAGACTTTTGCACAGTACTGCATGTTCAACTGGCATTGTTAAAAATCAGCTTTACTTTACCCAAGTATTAGCATATATCTCTATATTATATGCATACGAACAAATATATTTATAAACATATACGCATATCGTGATAACTTGCATCTAAACAGTGACTAGCATTAACTGTCATCGACTGAAGTCACTCCTCCGCAGGGTAACGTTACGTTAACGTAATTAACCCAAATGTTCTGCTTTTTATAACCGAGGGGGCTTCAAATGGAGGACTAACGTTAGACAAAAAGGCTAAGAATTGTGTGTGTGTGTGTATCCCCCCTCAAAGGCCTCGGACAACATTAGCTACTAGAAACAGTTATTAGCGGACTAGCATGTGAGCTAGCACCGAACGCTACTTCACCTGCGCCGCCGTCGGACACCGGAGGAGTCGTGCGCGGCTGTCTGAGCGGCTCGCCCGGGCTGAACACTGCACTTTTCATGTCTCCAGCCTCAGAGGAGGAGGAGGAAGAGGACAGTGTGCTGCCGCTGCTGTTGTACATGATCTTCTTCTCGCTGATCTCGCCCGTCCGGTCTCGACTGTCCGCCGTCAGACGCGAATAAACACACGGATCCGATCTCAGAGGGCCGCTGAACACTAACGTTACACAGACAGCGTCGCGCTACAGTCTGCTTCTCACTTTCATGTTTACTATTTCTGTTTCTGGCATCTGTCCACTTCCTCAGTGATTCTCCAGAAATAGCAGTTGATCAGAAGAGCGCCATCTATTGGAAGTGAGGAAATGTTGCAGTCAATCATGGCTTCTCAAACAGATGTGGGATATTTTAAGCTTTACTCTGACAGACATTTGGCATGTAAACTATAGTTTCCGCCGAAAATACCACCAGTGTTGGGGGTAATATATTACAAGTAACGCAATCAGATTACCTTTTTCAAGTAACTAGTAAAGTAACGCATTACTTTTTCATTTACAAGAGAATATCTGAGTTACTTTTTCAAATAAGTAACGCAAGTTACTTTTTCACAGATATTACAGTTATGTATTTTACATGAATAGGGTACAAAATAGGTAAAGAAAAAAGAAAGTATTTTTCAAAAGGTCAGTGAAAAGTTGCTTAATCTTCATTTTATGAGGCGTATCATTTTTTATAGCATGTTGGGAACTTGTTTGGACATAGTGTGATTTTTATTTAGAAATAAACATCAAAATTAAACAAGTTTGTAAAATTTTACACTAAGTATTGTACAAAGAGTAACAAGATTGCAGATGATCTAGAGTCTAGACTGAACTATTACTCATCTAGTTTAGTGCTAAATTATGTTTTGAAGCAGTTTTTTACTGTTATTTATTAAAATTTATTTCTAAATGTTATTTTGGTTCTCCTTTTTAGTTTAATTGACATTTTATTTGCTTGCCATTTTTATTATTTTTAATAGTTCTATTTAGCTTTGTTTTTAAATCAGTGTTTAAATCAGTTTATTTTTTAATTTACAAATTTTTGATTTCAGATTACAATTATCGAAAATTATTTAAAATGTAAAATATTTTTAGCTAACAAAAGTGTATTTATTTACTGATATGCATTTCTCATAAATTAAAAACTGAGCATGATGTTTGACGCTGGCAAATTGATTTAACACTACAATGCATGTTAGAACTGATAACATGGAACAAAATTATTTCCATAATGCTGTAGAAAGGGTTCAATAATGTGATCTCTTGGGTGTCAAAATTGTAATTAATGTTAATCAATTCATTTTTAATGCAAAATCATGTAGTAACAAAGGTGCACACAAAATGTTGGACACAGCGAAATATAACACTGATCGTTAAAATTCATTAAAAAATTTTCATTTTTGTTAATTCAACAGTAATGATGATACTGTTAAGGTTGAGAAGGACAAGACCATTTTAAGATGGAGTAAAATACAAACATTTGATATTTAAATCTACTTTTTATGTTAAAGAAGTTTCATGCTTTATAACTCGTGGCAAACAAAAGATAGTTTCTATCTGCCCATTCACACATTTAAGGCAGCTTGGAGACTCAAATCTTCTTTAATCTGGGTGCAAGGTTCAGTGTTTTTGGTTCTGCTGGTCTTATTTTACTCTGATTTCCTGGGAACATTCATTCGTTTCAGTGTGCAAACAGTTGACACAGCCTTTCTCTTCTCAGCACTCATTCTTTATTCACTACAGTAATTCCCATTTGTGTTATTTTTATAGTTTTACAATATTTTTATAGTAACTGGAACAAACCTCATCAAGTAAAGTTCAATGACTGCCACTGTACTTTGCACAGTAAAAACACAGAAACCACATATTAAATGGATAGTTCACCCAAAAAGGAAAATGGGATGTTTAACTGCTTACCCCCAGGGCATCCAAGATGTAGGTGACTTTGTTTCTTCAGTAGAACACAAACTAAGATTTTTAACTGAAGCCATTGCAGTCTGTCAGTCTTATAATGGAAGTGAATGGGAATCACGGCTTTGAGAGTCAAAAAAACATACACAAACAAAACCAAATTAAACCCTGCGGCTCGTGACGATACATTGATGTGTAAAGACACGAAACGATCGGTCTGTGCAAGACACAGAACAGTATTTATATCGTTTTTTACCTCTGATGCACTGCAATGTCTGAACTGTCCTGAGCACATCCTTGACAGTCGGCGTGTAATGCATCTTCTTCTTGCTTTACGGCGGATCACAGACTTGTAAGTGCATTACCGCCACCTATCTCTTAAATGGACAATTGGCACTCCTAATTGAGATTGTAGATAGAGTGTCAATGGTCCACTTGAGAGATAGGTGGCGGTAATGTACTTATAAGTCAAAAAGTAAAAGTAAAAAAAAAAATAAAAAAGACGACGCATCATGCACCGACTGTTGAGAACGTGCTCAGGACAGTTCAGACATTGCAGTGCATCAGAGGTAAAAAAACGATATAAATACTGTTGTTTAGTGTCTTTACACATCAATGTATCATCACGAGCCGCAGGGTTTAATTTGGTTTTGTTTGTGTATGTGTTTTTGACTCTCAAAGCCGTGATTCCCATTCACTTCCATTATAAGACTGACAGACTGCAACGGTTTGAGTTAAAAGTCTTCGTTTGTGTTCTACTGAAGAAACAAAGTCACCTACATCTTGGATGCCCTGGGGGTAAGCAGATAAACATCACATTTTCATTTTTGGGGGAACTATCCCTTTAAGAATAAAATGCCTTTTAGTATTTCTTCTATTGCTTTTAAAAAAATAATATCATGCAAGTAATCACAAACAGGCAAATAATGCAGATATTTCTCTCTTCACATTTGCTGATTTCTCTGAACAGAACAGGTGATCTTGAAAGAAGCAGAATTCTGAAGGCCAGGCCCAGAGTTTGGGCTGCACAGGACAAACAGCAACCTGTAGGGAGTCCTGTATTCAGTTATATCATATTGTCCAATTATTTTCCATCAACTTCCTGCTGTCCTCCTTTCTTTTTCTTCTTCTGTTGTTGCTGCTGCTGTGTTTTGGCTTTTTTAGTGGCTGGCTGATTTCGTGTCTCTTCTCCTTCTCCTACCTGCTGTTTCCTCTTCTTGCTTTTCTTCTTGTTCTTCTTCTTCTTTCCCTCCTCTCCGGACACTCCTCCAGCAGTTTCTGTGGAGGCTGGCATCTCTTTTCCCTCCAGTACCATAGGCTTCTTACGGTTCTTGCGTTTCTTCGTCTCAGGAAGGAACCCCTTCTTCTTCTTCTTCTTTGTGGTTTCTTCTGTCTGCTCTGCCTCTACAACTTTCTTCACCTTTTCCATCTTTGGCTTTCTAAAATAAAGCAAAGGAAGAGAGACATTGAAGACAGGTTGATTATCAGTTACACTTGCTGGAAATGGTTTAATACTCTAAAGAAAAATATTTAACATTTTTATTATGTAATACTTTAAATATGAAAGGTATTCCACATATTTCATTATTATTGATGGACACGAACCAAAAGATGATTATGATGATGAGTCTCACATAATAAAACATACAATTGATAATAATTAGAAATGTTTCTTGAGCAGCAAATCAGCTAATTATAATGATTTCTGAAGGATCATGTGACACTGAAGACTGGAGTAATGATGCTGAAAATTCAGCTTTGCATCACAGGAATAAATTACATTTTAAATTATATTCAACCAGAAAACAGTTGTTTCCCATTGCAATAATATTTCACAATATTTACTGTATTTTAGATCAAATAAATACAGCCTTGGTGAGCATGAGAGACTTCTTTCCAAACTTTTGAATGGTAGTTAAGCATTTACATACACATTTAAAATTATAATCAAAATAGATTTGAATAACGTGACTCACAAAATGCCAAATAACTTCATCACGCTCCAGTATGTGTCCTCCAGCTGTCCTGGTTTCTGCAGACTTCCTTCAGCGTTCATGGACTTGAGAACATTCTGAAGGAGCTCCAGATTAACCTGCATCTTCTGCTCAGACAGAAACAAAGTGGGGTTTTAACACTCAAACACTTGAGAATACCTTGTAAAAAAAGAAGATTTAGGAAAAACATTTATTCATTACCTGACTGTGAACGGTTCTGACAAGATGCTGACAGAGCTCTAGTGCCTTGACTATCTTCTCATGAACCGTTTTATTCTTACACTCTACATCTTCAAAACTCTGGAAGAAAGGGATATATTTTAGGATATATATTATATAGATATTGTGTGTGTGTGTATATCAATATTATACTGAGTATATATATATAGAGAGAGAGAGAGAGAGAGAGAGAGAGCTTATATTATATGCATTATATTGATATTGTAAAAGGGGATATATATTATATTATATTAATATTGTGTTTGTGTATATTTGTATATTATTTTACTTTGATATTTTAAATACAGAATGCCATCAAATTGGCAAGATATTAATGTAAAGTGAATGTAAACATAATACTGAAGCAATTATTGTAATGTATTAATTAAAGATTATTATTTATTAATTATTGTTTAAATAAGTACCTTATTTTGCATTACTAAAAAGATGTAAAAATTTGTATCAATATTAATAATATTTGCAAATGATTTTCACTGGAATTGGTGCCAACTACTGAAATTGTGGTCTTCCTGTTGAAATGAGCTGTTCCAAAACTTTGCATTTTGAGACGATCGAGCTAAGAAAGTGTGGTTTCAACCATGTAAAATGAAAAAAAGTCTACCTTGGCAAGTTGGTCCCCAACTTTCTGATGCAGCTCAGTTCTGTGGGCATCAGACATCAGGTTTTTTACATCTTTAGACTGCAGGGCCCTGAGCGCCACGACACATGCCTGACCCTGAAACAACCGGATAAAAAAAAAAAAAACACACTTAAGACAGTTCATTACAATTCAATATATTCATGAGCTGCTCAAATACACTATAATATAGATGGATCAGCTTGGTTTACCTGCTGATGTTCCCTCACTCCAGCAGTGATGTTCTCCACCACCGTGTCCAACAGGTTCACACACAACACCTTCAAACACAACACAAATGGACCAATTATGACCCATTAACAGCTTTCATGAGGTGGAGACTATATCTTTTACATTTTCAAGAAAATCTGAGTGGTGTTTTCCTGTGCAAGACTCATCGCTGCAACACTAGGACATTGATTTGTGGTTTAATCAACATTACTAATGCTTTGACCAATTGCCTAACCAATTATGAGTAATAGTAATAGTGATGTTAAATATTTTATTTTACAGTGAAATGCTACTATTATATTAGTACTATTCCTATTTTGTTGAATCTATTTTA